GAAGAGCTACTCTGCACTAATGGTGAGAAAGGGCAGTCTTGCAGCTGTTGAAGAAGATGGCATATATAAAAAAATTGACCCCCCAGTTTCACTCCTGGGTACCCACCCCGGGGTATGGAAAGCAGGGTCTTAGAGAGCTGTGCTGTTCTCATGCCCCTAGTAGATTGTTAAAGTAGCCCAAAGATGGAAGCAATGGAAGTGTCCGTCTGTGGGCAAGGGGGCAAATCACACAGCCCATGCTCTCAGTGGAATATTAGTTGAGCTTCAAAACAAAGAAGTTCTGATATATGGATGGACTTTGTGACACACGCCAAGCGAACTAAGCCAGGCATAGAAGTTCAAGTAGCAGATGATCCTATGCATGGTCCTATCCTCTGAGGTCCTCAGAGTTCTCAAACTCATAAAGTCTGAAAGTGGGACCAGGATGGTTAGGGTTGGGGTAGCGGGAGTTAGGGCTCATGGTTCATAATCTGTGTGTGAGTGTGTGTTTTTTTGTGTGTGTGTGTGTACCAGAGTTCTCAAACTCATAGAGTCAGAAAGTGGGGCCAGGATGGTTAGGGTTGGGGTAGCGGGAGTTAGGGCTCATGGTTTATAATCTCAGGTGTGTATGTGTGTGTGTACCCATGTGCATACACATGTATGCGTGCATGTGTATATGTGTGTGAGCTCACTGATTGGCTAGACTGGCTGCTCAGCAAGCTCTTCCTCTCTGTACTTCCCCAAGCTGGAATTAAAGGCATGCTCTGCCACGCCCAACTTTTCCTTGGGTGTTGGGGACTTGAACTCAGCTCCCCAGGCTGCACTTTGCCTTCCGAGCCATCTCCCTACCCCTGGAGCATCAGTTTGATGCTAGATTGCACCCTTAAAAAATGCCACAGTGGGAAATGCTACTTGTGTTTTTTAATGACATTTTTAAGTCCACGGCCACCATCTTCCTGTATAGTTTATTGTTAACAAGAATTGAGCCCTTCCCCTGTCACAGCTGAACCCTGAATAATGGAAATTCTGGGTAAATCCTCAAGTAGTGATGGGGGTCACGATAGGGTCAGAAGAGGTGAGGCAGAAAACCACATACCTTTGTTCAAAAGTCCTGGAATTGCTCAAATTTCACGCAGCCCTGGAGGAGATTCTCTGTGATTGCAAAATGACCCATTCTCAGCCCTGCTGTAAAGATGATTACATCTTGTTAAATCTGTGCCTTGGGGGTGGAAAGAGAGGATGGGCCCTGGGGCTGGAAGCTGGGGACCTCATTAAGCTCCCAGCTTTCTGTGAGTTTTCATCTGAGCCGAAGAAAGTCCCACTCAGATGGAGCGAACCTCAGGAAAAAGCTCGATTCCACTGACTCACTTTGTTTGTTTTGAGGCGAGGTCTTTGCTTTGAAGCCCTGACCTGTATAGAACTGACTGTATAGATCAGGCTGTCCTTGGTCTTGTAGTGATCCTCCTACTTCAGTTTCTGGAGCAGTTAGAGACACTGTTAGTGTTTATTGATTATTGATGCGACCCTTTTAAGGAGCGAAAGATCAGTGAGTGTATTATACCAGTCGGGCTGTCTGCATCTAGTGGGTTTTAGTATAGACTGCTCAAGCTGGAACCAGTGGGGTCTTGTAAAACCATCTACACTTGGGGTTCTGCCTATGTGGGCTTGACCAGATCTCCCCAGAAGGAGCCTGGATTCACATATTTGACACCTGTTCACCTACAGAGAAATAAGAGCCTGGGACCACCCCCAAGGAAGTGGATTAAGTGGGAATTCCAGGCAGATGTGGTGGCCACCCTTTGAATGGAGAAAGACCAGTGCTTGTGGACTACCTGGAGAGGTTTTAGTTTCAGGGAGGAAGTGGGCGGGCAGGGGGTGGGGTGGGGTGTGGGCAACGGGCTAGCAAGCTCAGGCAGAAAGCAAAGTTGAACAGGCAAACCTGTTCACAAATGGGCTCCAAGCATGGTCTACGTGACTCTGAGGCCACATGCTATGTTCTGCTACTGGATTAAGCCTTAAGCTTTCGTCAGCTGCTTTGCCATAACCCAAAAGCCTGGGGGGAGGAGACAACAGCCCCCTTCAGATTCTCTTCCACCAGCTTGTCTTGAGATTATTCTACAGCTTCTGTCCCAGGATGGTCTTTAAAATACACAAAGACACCTTTAGATGCACCCCCAACCCATGCTTCTAGGCATCCCCCTTCCCATCGTATTAAAAAACAGCCACATGAGATGGTTTTTCGGCTGCCATTCCAGAGCTCAGCCTGATCCTAATACTCCCTGCCACCATGGCATCCCATGAGATCCGTGGTCTGAGCAGAGGATACTACACAGAGTTGATTTCCACGGGAGCAAGGTGCTCAGATACTAGCCTGTGGAAGGAGGCAGCTCTTGAGGTTTCTTCCTCAGGGGCTCAGTGAGATGTCAGGAAGAGCTCAGCAGAGTCTGGGTACTTGACAGCTGTGGTGCTGGACCAGCGGCAGGGCCTGGGTAGTGTGGAGGAGCTGCCTTAAACCCCAAGGGTGCAGAAGGATGCAGATTGCCTGGTACCATGCTGGAAGTGATCTATTTTCCCACCCTGCCCACGTGGAGATGGTGGCAGGAGGTGGTACACTTTTAACCTTACACTGGTCTGAGTTCTCACATGGGCAGTACTTGTCCTTGCTCGCAGCATAACAGCGACATGATGATGGATGTGATTGGTCCCAACTCACTCAGACATGCTACTGCACACAGTATCTTCTATTAACGCCTAAGCAAGATTAGGAGGTTCTATCGGCTCCCCCACCCATGCATGGTAGGCAAGAGCTCTACCACTGAGACATATCCCCATTTGTCCATGTATTTTAAGAGCTATTATGAATTCTTAAACTTGGTGAGGGTGGAGGATAGTAAAGGACTTGTCACTCTCGCTGTCCAGTGCTTTCTGGTTCCCAAGAGGCAGCAGCTACCATCAGTTTTGCAGCCTTGAGATTTCTGTCACTCCTAATACTCAGCTCTACTTAATATTCTGTTCCTTCCTGTTTACTGCTGAAACCACTCCCTATGGCTGCTTCTTTCAAATGCCAAAGGAGTTTAGGCAAGCATGGCTTGCCGAATGAAAACGCCCCAGATAAAACGGTGGGGCACTGTAGCTGTGCTAGGGCTGTGCTCTCATTGATCTGTCTGTCATCTGTATTCCTGTCCGTTGATCTACCATTCGTCAGGTTTAAACTCAGATGTGCTTGTACACATACGCAGAGATATAAGCACACAAATCTCTGGTCATTATGTAGCCACTGATGGCACATCCCCTGGCTTGGAATCATGCTCACTGAGTCCCCAATCTGCATTCCTTCTGCAGGGAGCTGTTCTTACTCCTATATCTGCAGAGATACAACATTTAAGATTCTCACAGTGAGGAACTTCAATGTTCCTACCCATTAAAAACCTACCTGTGAGGATTGAGTTGTCTTTATTTTTGTTCATTTGTTTGTTTTTGGTTTTCAAGGCAGGTTTCTCTGTGTAGCCCTTGTTGTCCTGGAACTGGCTCTGTAGACCGGGCTGGCCTTGAACTCAGAGATCTGCCTGCCTCTGCCTTCCGAGTGCTGGAATTAAAGGTATGTGCAATCATTGCCAGGCAAGTTGTCTGTTTTTTATGTCAAGTTTGGGTATCATTTTTGCTGTGGATCTCTGGCGTCCTCCCGAGGGTGACAGTGAGTAAGGAGAGAAAGGCAGCAGGGAGAGCCAAGGCAGCTCACACAGCCCAGGAGCTGCCTCTTGGCACTGTGGCCACCCGAGGCAGGCTTTACAGAGTGACCAGGACCCTGGGAAGGAGTGGCATGATACATCCCCCTCGAGTACTGGTGGGCAAGTCAGGTCCAATCAGAGAAGCATGACCTTGGTTAGGGACCCTAGCAGGCCCAGAGGAAGCCTTGCCAAGGCCACAGGGGAGAATGGGACCAACTTTCAAGTCGTCTACATTTATCAGTGGGAGACCAACTTTGGTGGTCAATATTTAGACTCATCTGGAGGAGGAATGGCCTTCCAAGGGTGAGGGATGAAGAATTTTTGGAACTCACTGTCAAAGGCTTGTAAAGACCTTTCCAAGTCTACAGATGGCGCTAGAGAGATGGCGTAGTCAGTAAAGCACTTCTGTGTAAAAATGAAGATGAGTTCAATCCCCAGATGTCGTGGTGTGAGCTTGTAACTCTAGTGATGGTGAAATGGGAGGCAGAGAGAGCATCCCTGGCCAGCCAGCCTAGCCTGCATGGTGACATTCTAGGCCGATGACAGACTGTCTCAAACAAAAAGTGGACAGTGTCTGAGGCTGTCCGCCAGAGATGGTCCTTAGCCTTCACCACATTTGTGTATATATGCACATACATACATACATACATACATACATACATACATACAATCACCCACTCACCCACCAACCCACAAACTTACACAGACGTATACAACTCAGACAGACCTGGGGCTCAGTTCAGTGCTAGGCTTTGCCTCAAATGCCTGCGGCCCTGGCTTCTAGCCCCAGAACACCTCCCCAAACAACCCCATAGGTAGGTAGAGTGGTATCAGGATGACCCACACACCCTAGGTGGGAACCTGGCTTTGACTGTGATGTGCTGTGTGTTCTCCTGCTCCAAGCTTTCGAGGACACAAGAGACTGCTGCCCAGACTTCAGAGATTCCAGCCAGGGCACCTATGTGATCTCTCTGATGAGGGGCAGTCTCCTGTGGTTGTCAGCCAGCTCCCTGTGCTTTTCTGGGATGTAAAAGCCTGCCCCTGACCAGTGCATGGAGTGGCCTACTTGGGTTTGTGTCAGGCAGAAGAGGGTTCGAATCCTAGCTGGGAACAATGGCAGGATGTAAGCTCCCCTCACAGAGTGCAGCAGGGACCCAGGTCTCTAGCTTGACAAATTAAAGGTTCTTGTGGGACACTCAAGGAGCTAGGACATAGGGCGGGGCTCTGCTCTGACGGATGCGTGGCAGCTTTGCCTCTGCCGTGTGTAGAATGGTAACAATGGGTTGGGAGGGGCCGAGGGTAGTCCCTCAGATTGGAACCTCAGCCCTGAGGAATGCAGACTCTCACTTGGCTGGACACTTTGACCATGGACCGGGATCCGAATGAGGATGACAGTGAGTAGAACCTAGGGGGAAATGGGTCACCTCTGCAGCCAGCACTGGACGAGATCTGGCTCCACATCACTTGCCTTCCTTTAGCATCTGTCTTGATATCTCTTCCTTCCTTTTTCTTTGCTCGGGAAAGACAGATGGTGGCAGCCAATAGCCCCTCTATTATATCCTTTAGAGCAATGGGCAGAATGCCACAGTTACCTCAAGGGCATCTCCCTTCCTATTATATGCCCTGTCCATGTTTGTCTCCCTTTTCTCCAGGTGATAGTGACCCTCCCTCTCCCCCTAATCCAGCCAAACAGAAGCCTGACCCTCAGGATTTTTCTGTCTCATTCCTAGACGCAGCTAATGTACAACGTCACTGCCCAAATCTTTACACACACCCTCTTGCCTGTCACAGTCCTGGTCACCCCAGTCTGTCGTTAGCAGGATAGAAATACAATGGGACAGAAGGGCCGCTTAAAACCCAAGAAAGGAAACAGGTTTCAGAGGAAATAGACTATGTTTACATGAAAGAACGTTTGCTTCCTGACTTGGTACAGGCAATGCAGAGGTGGTCGTGCAGCAGCAGGTGGAGAATTGGGGGATATGGTTCAAATCCTGGCTCTGAGTTAGATTGACTGTGTGGTCTTGGGCCAAGACACCTAACGTCTCCAAGCCTCCATTTCTCCATGTGTAAAAGGAAAATGGACCAGGAGATCTGAGTGTGGGGACCATGGGGTATGGGTACAGTGTCATTGAATTACTTTCTAGGTAGGCAACGAGGGGCTTGCCACTTTTCTGGGAATCCTAGAGAAGTCTGTGAGCCAAGCATATCTCCATGGACCCTGGGACTGAAAGTCTTCTCATACCCAGTGACATCTTTTTTCTTTAAGCTGTGGCTCTTTAGCAGACTTGGAGTTTACAGATGGCATGTCCCTTCCCGCTGTTTAGGCTAGCAAGTCGGGTCTGGATTCAGATCCAAGCTCTGCCTCCAGATTGCTGGGTGACTCAGCTCAGCCCACTCGAATTTTTGGACTTCATTTTTCAAGGCTGTATGGTTTGAAACAGAGAGCCAAGGGACCTAGGGGCGGGGGAGGGGGGAGGTGTTAGGAGAACTGGAGGAAGAGAGGTCTGAATGTCTCTTTAAAGCTTAAGCGACGATACAGTCACACACTCATGCACACATGGGGTGCTTTGCACACCTAACACTCGTATGTGCCTACTGAATGCCTCTTCTTCTCAGTATTCTAGAGGAGCACCCATGCATGGAAGGGGATGAGAAGTGGCATGTGATGTGATGGGCAGGCCTGCATTGAGATCCCGGTGCTCTGGAGAGGATACCACTGGGATCCCGTTAAGACAGAGAAGGTTCTGAGGCAGAGAGAATAACATTGGGAAAGAGAAAAGATGAGAGGGCTTCTCTCTTAACTTTGTTTTCCTCTACAAGAACCATTCTTTTCATGCAAAAGAAAATTAGTTTGTGACTGGCAAGCAGACTCCACCTCCCCATCTGTCTTTGCAAGGCAAATCTTGGTAGCAGATTACTTGGGGACTTGGAGACAGATGCCGAGGCCCTGGGGACAAGGAGGCAGGGCTTGAGCTATGAGCACTACTTTCTGCTCTGCCTGTGTGGACTGGTGGCCTCAGGTTGAACCTCTGGGCCTCATTTTCTGTTGCACGAGTGGGAACATGCAGCAGTCGCGGCGTGGGGAGGCCACTTCCGTGTGAGCTTAGACAGTGCCATGTGCAACAGGGTGAGGTGCTCAGCCAGACAGGTGCCCCCAAACTCACCCCAATGGCCTGGGGACAGTGTGGCACAATGTAGGTGACTGCCATAATTCTGCTGTGCTCCTCCCGTGGTACAGGAAATGTGCCCTTCTGGGGGTCAGCCTGGAGTCCTTTCTTGTTTGGGTGGAATGGGGGTATAAACTTAGAAATGAGGTACCGGGACAGCCCCAGAGGTCAGGGTCACTCCAGGGTAATGGATGGGGCTTGAGTTACCCACCTTCCATTCTTCCCATCATCCTGTCCCTTTTATTTGGTCTCTAGGAGGTCACTGCAACCACATGGCCTTTCTCTGTCTTCCCTTCAAGGGTCGGAGATTGGTGCCCTAGTTGACCCAAGGTTGCCTGATAGCCAGGGCCATCCCAGGAGACAGAAGTGGCCTTTCTCGCTACACTTGACATTTTCCTTGTTGTTTTCTAGTTTAAAGGAACACACATCAAGATCAGCCCAGGGAGAGAGTGGCTTTTATATGCCAGGCTCAGGGCTGGAGGCTGTCACACACGGTCCCATTATGTGGGCGTCAGTTTCGATCTGTGTGACACCTGGGAAGGCATGGCATGCTGGAGAGCCCAGGACCGTAGCCACACACAGCCATGATGGCCCTTGATCCCTTTGACTCAGGACTGGCATATACTCAGTACTGACTTTAATGTTTACTGAGCTCTTGGGAATGACAATGGATGGCCACATGTGAATCCTGGCTCAGAAAAACCCCCATTCCAGCCTCCACCTTCCTGACCCTCTGAGGGCCCTTCCCTACAGGTGACTATTTCCATCAACTGGCTTGTGAGGGTCCAAGGAAGGCGGCAAGATACAGCTTAGCAGCCAACCCGGATGCCCACTTCACTCCCCACAAAAGCTACACTTATCTGCCAAGGTGTGGGCTGCTTTTATGCCAGCAGTGATGCCCAGTAAGCGAGACTGGGATTGTTAAGCCTATGGAGTCCAAACACCTCTCTCCTACCTCTTTACAGAAGACAGTGGCTGACTCTGGCAGCTAAGCAGTGAACTCATCCAAAGCAAAACCTTTTGAAAAGCTTGGGACCCTGCCACTTCGCATCACTGCCACCCCTCTTCCCACTGAGGAGCGCACGCCCTCTAGCTACAAACCCACCCCTGCATGTTTTCTGCCTTGAAAAGAAGGATTAGAGATACAGGTAGCTTGTCTCACTAATAGAGAAGAGCCTTGCTAACTTGGAGGGTGTCAGGGAGGAGTATCAGTCTTTATGACATTCTCTTTTTCTCCCGTCACTGTCCCCAGCCACATGTTGCAATCTTCAGCGACCCTAAGCCCTCCCTTCCAGGAGAACCTGGCTGCTCTCCTAGAGAGCGATACTGTAGTCGGAGGCTGCTTGTTTGTTTCCCAGTCACCCAAACTTCCGAAATAATCACACAGAAACTATATTATTTAAACCGCTGCTTGGCCAATCACTTAAGCATATTGCTAGCTAGCTTTTATATCTTTGGTTAACCCATTATTATTATTTCATATTTTACCATGAGGCTCGTGGCCTACTGGCAAGGTTCTAGCTGGCAGCTTGCACCTTTCTCCTCTGGCAGCTCCATGACTTCCCCTTGACTCCTCCTACTCTCTCTCTATATTCTGGCTATATTCTGTCAAACCACTGGCTGAAAGCATCTTCTTTATTCATTAACCAATAAAAGCAACACATATACAGAAGGACTTCCCACACCACGAGACCTGGTTAGCATTCTGCTCACCATTTATATTAGCCTAGAAGGAATGGGCCATACAATTTAATTTTGGTACAAGTAACAATCTAGAGGGTTCTCTGATGTTTGTCCTACAGTGGGGATCAGACTTGTGTGTGGTGGGGAAACTCTCTATCACTAAGTCACACCCTCAGCCCAATCCAGGGTTTGGAAGAGGCACCTTCCCCAAAGAATGAGGTGTTTTGTGTGTACCCACCCTCGGTTTTCAGCTTCCCCTGAATTCGCTGCAGATTTTGCCCATCTCCTTGGCTGCTACAAAGTTTGGCACTGTCCTCTTGGTGTCTTTATGGCAGGTGTGGCTGACCTCAGTTTTGAGGCTGAGAGTCCTGTGGCGCCCCCTGATGAGCTCCTGGAAGGACTGCCCAGCTATGACTGGCTTCTTCAAGGGCGCGGTGAGTCAGAGTGTCATGGTTTCTACAGCTTCTTTCAGGGGCTCTTGCTGGTTGGGGAGTAGATAGGTCAGTGCTGAGATAGCTCTCATTTCTCCTAGGGTATTGAGAAGTGTGGGGAGTGGGATTTGATAGAGAGTAGGCAGTGTTCTGTGACGCTGAACCTTCTGCTACCCAAATGATGCTGGTCTTAAAATTCCTATTCTGTTTGCTGGAGCCAGCCCTTTCTACTTCTCTCCTTTCTTCCTCCTCTTCCTTCTCTCCCCCTCCTCCTCCCCCCCCATTCCTCCCCCCACCTCCTCCCCCTCCTCTCCCTCCTCCTCCCCCCTCCTTTTCCTCCTCCTCCTCCTCCTCCTCCTCCTCCTCCTCCTCCTCCTCCTCTTCCTTTCTCTTTAATAGCACAAGCTGGCCTTAGAACTCACTCTGTAGCCCAGGCTAACCTTAAACTAGCACCAGGCCAGCCTTTTCTTTCACTGCATCAACACGTGTTCTTCTAAGCTGAGGTAATGTCTTCCTTCCCTCTTCTCTAGGAGGACAGGTCTTCTTTCCATCCCTAGAGTCCCTGGGAAGGTCCCAGGAGCCTGCATCTTGGTCCTCAGTCCTGGAGCATAGGTGAGTCTCAGTGCATTTCCACATGCTCCTGTTGCCCCATGGGAACTCTCTTTGGAATGCTCTGACCCTGCCTCCACCATTGAAATACCCTCTGGTGGTACACTCCATTCCAGACTCACTAAACCAGATCTCCCTGGGGATATGGCCTGGGAATCTTCAGCGTGTTGGGTTCTTCAGCAGTGGAAACCACAGACAGTATCAGGGCTTTGCAAACTCTGGCCTCTGGGTCAAACCCAGCCCCTAGGCTGTTTTCTGTGAGTCCTGTGATACTGGAATCCAGCCACAGTCATATGTGTGTACATTGTCTATGGCAGCCTTTGCCCTGCCACTGCGGAGCTCAGTAGACCCATGCCTGTCTGTCTCATGCTGCTCAAATATTGACTCTGGTTCTCTGTTGCTGAAGTCCTCCACCCCACCCTCCCAATCTCTATCTTGGCGGCGGCGGCGGGGAAGGGGGGATGTACACCCTTTTTGTTTCGAGAAAACTTGTCACAGAGCTCTGGGTTCCAGCCAGCTCTGTGCCAAAGGGATGTGGTGAGGCCCCCTCCCAAATGCACCTTGTGGCTCAGCATGTGGCCTGCCTAAAGGAGTCTTCCAGAGTCCCTGTCACTCTGTGTGCATACACTTCTGTATCTGCATCTCAGTCCTAGCATGAGCCCATGTGACACTGAGTGGCTAGCTCTGTTGCTCACTTGGGACCCTATGCCAGGCCTGGCTGTGCTGGGAGTGGTGAGATTTAGGAATGGGGAGAAAATGGTTTTCCAGGCATCGGGGAGACTGTGCATGTGGGAAGGAGGGAGGTAAAGAACAGAAGGCTCCTTACTGAGGTATTTTGGGGAAAGACATTAGTAAGGAGGTGCCTGGATCTCAGGGAGAAACTTTTTCCAGAGAAGGGGCTGGAGAGTACTCACTCCATCCCACTCAGGCTGTGGCCTGGGGACCAGCCCTCAGTTAGTTATCGTGCATGCTCACAGCTCTTCTGACAAAGATTCGGGTCCCTGAGGTCATTTAGTCTGTTTCTACCTCCATAGGAGGAAGTAGCATCATCTCTAGACCTCAGTTTCCCACACCTGTAGGAGCTGGGCCATTCATCTCCTACAGTTTGAAGATGAGATAGCCTGGAGGCTCTTGTGATGAGATAGCCTGGAGGCTCTTGTGATGAGATAGCCTGGAGGCTCTTGCGATGAGATAGCCTGGAGGCTCTTGTGATGAGATAGCCTGGAGGCTCTTGTGATGAGATAGCCTGGAGGCTCTTGTGATGAGATAGCCTGGAGGCTCTTGTGATGAGATAGCCTGGAGGCTCTTGTGATGAGATAGCCTGGAGGCTCTTGTGCCGGAGGCTTCATCTCCTACAGTTTGAAGATGAGATAGCCTGGAGGCTCTTGTGCCGGATACTTCATCTCCTACAGTTTGAAGATGAGATAGCCTGGAGGCTCTTGTGCCAGAGGCTTCATCTCCCGCTTTCCCCCTCACTGAAGGCCTTTGAGTAGTGATGGATCCTGAGGGCACCAGCCTTGTCGCTGGTTTCACCCCTTGCGAGCACAGCTGCATGGACTTTTGGGAGGCGGTGGAAACTGTTGAGGGTGGATCTTATTGGAGGAAGCAGGTCCCTGGCTCCTTCCTGTTCTTTCTGCTTCTTGTCCTCCAGGGCAGCTTCTGTGCACCCCCACAGGCTCCCACCATGGCTCTCTGCCTCACTGTGAGCTCAGAAGCTTGGAGCCAAGTGACCATGGAGACTGTCAGCCCTAACTCATTTGTGACCATGGAAACTGTCAGTCCTTTCTCATCATCTTTCCTCCCTTTAAGTTGGTTTTCTCAGGACATGATTTTTTTTTTTAATTCACAATTTAGCTTCTTTCCTAGGCCCCATACTTGGGCTAATGTGGGTTTTAGGCCTTCAAGAATGTCCTACTTCCCCTAAGCACCCTGTCATGTGGTCCCCTTGGCTAGATATCTCCTGCACTGACTCCTTAGCACAGTCAGGCCTTGGATTCTTTGCTCTTCGGGCTTGAGTGTTGTTCCCCTGCACTCCAAGAGACCAGTTGTGGCTAGCCCACAGGCCCCTCCCAGACCTCTGCTCCTTTGTTTTCTTCCCAGCAGAGTCCCTGTGGTGACTGAGGAGGTGGCCCGGGAGGCCCTGGTCAGCTTCGTGAACTCTCAGTGTTGCTATAGCACTGCGGCTGCTGGCAACATCATCATCCAGGAGCTGCGACAGCAAACCCTCTGCAGGGTAGGGAGGCCATACCTGGGGGCCTGGGGACACTGAGCCATGGGGGCATTGGTCCTGGGGGTGCGTGCAAACAGTCTCTTCCACAACTTCCCGATTTTGTATCTAATAATCAGAACATAGGAATCTCATCATGATGGACAAGTTCACGTGCACAAGCAGATAAGACCATGTTAGACCCCCCCCCTCCCGCCCTGGCGAACTGTCCATCATAATGCAGAGTTGTCCACAGAGTCCGGAGCCAGTACTAGGGATTAGGAGAGGCTGAGATGCTTGACCAAACACCTATGGTTAGATGTGGTAGATCTAGGGTTCAAAGTTAGGTTTGTCAACCAGAAGCCTAGGCCTCCTTGCACACTTCCATGAGGCACAGACTGATAAGAGACCTTCTACTCCCTTGACTCTGCCTAGACTCTGTGTCTCCTAAGTCATGCCAGTGCCTTGGAACTGGGGAAATCTCACCTCTGACCTTCAGACCATAGATGGTGCTTTGGTCTCCTGCACACGTGGGGCCCTGAAACAGAATCTCAGGGCATACTTGCTAGTGTCAAACTTTTACTCCAAGAAGACACAATTAAGTGGAAGTCAGCTCATGAGAGTGGATAGGTCCTGGATGTGGAGAAAGAAGGGACCAACTTGCAGCCCTGTGATCTAAGCAAAGAGCTGACCTCTCAAAGCTTTTATTTTCTCCAACGAGAGAGAGAGAGAGAGAGAGAGAGAGAGAGAGAGAGAGAGAGAGAGACACCCAGGTGAGGCCCAAGGTCCCTTCTCACCCTAGCTTTGTGCATAAGGATTAAGGAGAAGGACCTTGTCATGAGTCAGGGAGTGCTTAGAACAGGGAACCTGGGGCCTCCCTGGACCATGGGCTAGTACTGCCCTGTACAGGATTTGTCCTGTAGATGGATCTTATGTAGAACTTCATGGGAAGCTGAGATTGCACTGGGTCCTGGCAGTGGTAGTCACACTTTTGTTCCCAGCAACCCATGCGGGTGGAAGCATCATCCTTTTGCAGCAGAGTGCTATCACCAGGAATGGCTGGCGCGGCTCGTGATGCACTGGTGTTCTCGCCTGTACCGAGGCACCGGTGTTCTCACCTGTACCGAGGCACCGGTGTTCTCGCCTGTACCGAGGCACCGGTGTTCTCGCCTGTACCGAGGCACCGGTGTTCTCGCCTGTACCGAGGCACCGGTGTTCTCGTCTGTACCGAGGCACTGGTGTTCTCATCTGTAGTATCGCCTGGAGACCTTCAGCGAATCCCGGGGCAGCGAGTGGACATTTCAGCCCGTCACCAGTGAGTGAACTGTCTCGACTTGGTTTGCTTGGAAGGAACAAGGCTGGGCCTGCGGGACCATCTCAGGACTTGGTTCAGTCACTAAAGCTGAATCTGATGTTTGTCTTTGTGTGTGGGGGTCTCCGTTTCCCCACTTAGTATAAAACAGTGGGATGCCTTTTATCTTAGTGACTCCCGAGTTCTGACCCTGGAAGGTGATTCTGCCTGGGAAGTAGTTTGCAAGAGGCTAAGGAAAGCCTAGCATTTTTTGACTGTGAAGACAGCATTGGGCTTGGACATCCACCTAACCTCCCTAAATTTCTAGACCCTCAAATTCCTCACGAACTGTGCCCTCCCACCTTGCACTCTGCAGTGCTCTAGAGGTGTCTCTCTTTTGTTCTCTGCTGTCCATCTCTAGTCCATTCTTCAAAACCCAACCAGGTGTCACCTTCTCTAGAAAGCCTTCCAGGATTTCTTTTTCCTCTTCTCTCCCAAGCAGAATGCACGAACCTTTTGAGTTTTCCAGGCCCTTTATGTGTGTTTTCAGTGTGAGAGCATGCTGTCTGGAAGAGGAGGATGGGAACAGGGTAGAGGCTGCGGTAGAGATGGTTCCTGCTCATTGGTCCTTCAGTGTTGCCATCCTGTGCAGACATCTTCTACACAAGCTTCAGTTTAATTGTCACTGTAATCCTACGTGTTAGGTGCCCATTATTCATCCCCATGCTAGAGATGAGATGATTAAATTCCAGAGAGGTTAAATCACTTTCCTAGGGTTACACAGCTGGGAAGTAGAGGAGCAGGATTCAAACCCAGGTCCAAAGTGCTTAACCTTGGAGAGCAGGGGGGCACTGTACCCACTCTTCTGCAGCCCGAGCTCATGATGTGCACACCAAAGAGGGGGAGTCATGCTGCTGGGTGGAAACACAAAGGTTTATGCTTGGTGCCTTTTGCGGTCCTCACGATGACCCCTTCTGTGTCAGACCACTCGGTGGATGGACCGCAGAGAGGTGCCTCTCCCAGACTCTGGGACATGAAGGTCCAGGTGCCTCCGATGTTTCAGGAAGACACCAGAAAGTTCCAAGTGCCTCACTCCTCTCTGGTCAAGGTAACAGCTGATTGGGTCATCCGTATTGCTCGCTAAGTCTGTTTCTCACCTTCTCCGTGCTTTACCAGGCTTGCTCCCAAGGCCAGCCTCGTAGGCCATGCCTGTGGTAAAAATAAAGCCCAACTTAAGAACAGCATGTGTCTTAGGGAGGGGACAGTGCCGTCACCAGCTGGATATAGCAAGTGACAACATTCCTAGGGCAACTGTGTGCATGCATGCTTCCTTGCTCGGTTTTTGCTTGAGAGTAAGGTAAGTAGTTTAGGACTCAATGAAATTGGCACGAGCTCAACTCTGAAATGCAGCGGGTAAATGACTTGCTGAGCAAGCACAGGGCCTGAGTTTTTATCCTTAGCACATAGGTAAAAAGCTGGGTGTGGGGGCTTGCACTTGTAACCCCATCATTGGGAAGTAGAGACAGGAGGACCCCTGAGGTTCCCTGGCCATCCAGCCCGACCAGAGTGGTGAGCTGGAGGCTCAGAGAGAGACCTTGTCTCAAAAAGTAAGGTGGGCAATAATCGAAGCAGACACTTAAAAGACCTCTGGTCTCCATATGAGCTGTGTAAACACAAGCGTACAATCCCCCCCCCCACACACTTCACTGAGCTTTTTCTTGGATGTCAGTAGGAGAACAGTTTTGATGTCTGCTGTCTAGAAATCTGTCTTAGCAGGAAGTGTGGAAACCTGGTGTTTGATTGACACCCCCATTCTCTTCTTATCTGACAATTGGCTGTTTTCTCATTAACACTTGATTTAAGAATGTAATTTGACTCCTTGAGTCCTCAAAGTAACCAGACACAGAGGAGCTGAAGTGGGTCACGAAAGCATTTCGCTCGTTTCTGGACAACACAGAAACTATTTCCATTTAGCGACAGAGTCTAGCAGCTTACTCCTTGCCTTTCACAAAAGCGTTGTCCCTTTCATGTGTTCTCAAGGCCCACGTGAGTGGGTTACTGAGGCAAGACAGCCTTTGTGGTTTAGTCTGACAGGAAGCTAGAGTATTAGCTAGCTGAGGGCTCACAGCATCCGCATCTTAGCAAGCGGGGAAGCCTGAGATGGGCCGGGATGTTCTGACCTGAGACCTTGGGTTGGCATTCAAAACTGCTTTGTGTCTCCAGCCACCTGGAAGGGTCTTTCCCCCTGATATTTCCCATGGTAGTCTAGGGTTGGGAGAACGAAGCCATCCAGGGTTTCCTGTCCTCCTTTCTCCCAAGCAGAATGCATGAGCCTTTTGAGTTTTCCAGGCCCTTTCTGCTTATGTTCAGTGTGAGAGCAGGCTGTTTGGTCCTGCTTAGGGACCTCCACCTAAGGAGCACTCTTCCCTTTCAGGAATGTCACAAATGCCACGGGCGTGGCCGCTATAAGTGCAGCGGCTGCCATGGGGCCGGCATGGTGAGTCATGGGTGGGCCCTAAGAGTAAGTGATCCTGTGTGGGTGTTGGGGTGGACTTAGGGATGGCGGGGCAGGGTCTAAAGGCTTCCTGCACCAGGTGTCACCTCAGTGAGTCATCTTCCCTTTCTAAGTCTGCAGTTTCCCATCTGTGACTGGGATAGTCAGAATGGGTGCCTCCGGCTACCCTCACTCATGCTTTGATGATGCAGTTTAGGAATTTCTCCTCTTCCTCGTCACAGGCATTGAGGATCTGCATAGGGCTGGGCCCCGTCAGAGAATGGGTCCTAGGGCCATGCTAAAATGCCTTCCCAAGGAACGATGAAAACAACATCTGTCCCTTTTCCCAAGGTCCCAACCACAGGCCCAGGCACAATTCCACCTGAGCTTATTCTGGAGAGCCAATGAGTGTTTTGGGGTTCTGAGGGTTGGTTATAAGGGTGTGGATGTGCCTCCCTCAGCATGCTGGCTCTGAAATGCCTTAGTCAGCAGGTGGTAACTGTCAGCATAGATGGAGTCCCCCTTCCCAGACCTAGATACTCTAGCGCTTCCTTGAGGCAGAATTGCATATAACAGGCAGTGGAGAGTGACAGGAACTGAGGTGAGACTCTTGTGACCCTCCCCAACCCTCTGTGAGGGGGTGGAAACAGTCAACAATCTCAGTTTGGATGAACTTTTGCAAAGGGGGTACAACTGAACACCCCAAGATGGTGGATGGTTGCTTGACTGTGAGGCCAGTCACTCGAGACAGAGCCCTCTGTGGAGGACCGCCATGAGTTCAGGGAAGTAGACGCAGAGAGGTGAAGTTCACAAGGCTTGGGAGGTGAGGTAGAAGGGCTAGGGTTATCTGCCCAGGCTGCTGCAGCACACTAAGACATCCTGGGTTTACAGAGGCCAGACCGCTGGCTCTGGAGGCTAGAAGTTCAAGCCAAGGCTCACTCTTTGAGTCTGCTCGTCAGACACACATTGATCGCTTGCTGTACCACCATGCCTCTCTCCCCATTCAGATGCCTGCTGGGCCCTCATCTCTCACCTGCTCATGATGGGTCCCAGTGGGCTGCCCCTGGCTTTTCTTTCCTCTCCTTGTGTCCTCCTGCCATTTGCCTCCTGGGGCCTCTGCAATCCACCCCTCCACCCCCCCCCCCCGCCCCACCTCCTTGTGATCTTTCTGTTCTTTCCTCCTGGCTGGCTCCTTTCCTCCTCTCTTGCTTTGAATGTCAGGAGTCCACCCCTGGTACTTTCCTAAAAATGACCTGCCATTACCCTGGACTTCAGCCTGTGCACTCTTGGGTCCTTCCAGACACTTGGTTGGAGGCAGGTCTTGGGGCTTTGGAGTAGGGTCAAATCAGAGAGAAGAAGCAGGGATCTATGGACATGAAGTCTTGGAACCCTGTGCCCGGCATGGTGTATAGTCACCAATCCTCAAGCCACAAACCACAAACCCAGGGGAGGAAGAGACGTGGGTCAGCGTCACAGGGCTGGGTTGGAAGCTGGTCCCAGGATGGCCTGGGCACTGCTTCTGGGAGAGACTTCTTCTGAGTCTGGGCGTGTCCACAGGTGAGGTGTTCGTCCTGCAGTGGTACCAAGCGAAAGGCCAGGCAGCCCCGGAGATGCCATATGTGTTCGGGATCCGGCAGGCGCAGGTAGGAGTGTGTTTGCAGGAGGTGGGGGGAGGCTCTCTGTTCTTAGGTTTCTTTCTAGTCACTGCGCAGCTGAAAAGGCCATGGGTCACTGACCCTCTCATCACTGTACCGCCAGAGTCCGTGGCTATTGGGTGCTCTTGGACTTCGTGTGTGGGTGAGCTTGTTTCAGGGCCTGGCATTTCAGGAAATGCATCAAAAGTATGCACGCGTGAGGAGATGGGGCGTGGAGAGGCACTCTAAGGAACACCAGCGGGAAGGGCCAGTTTAAACTCTGAGCCCAGGCTCTGGGCTAAGCATTCTTTATATAACTCAGAGCAGGGCCTAGCTGTAGGAGCTGTTTAGCAAGTCGGTGGACCAACTAAGCAACCCAGAACATTCCATCTCTACCCTTGGGGCTTTGCATACAGTGGGCTATGATGTCTTGGAACTCATGTCCTCTCAATATGTATAAACTGTGGAAGGGAAACAGAAAACTACAAGGAGAGAAAATATTTAAAATTAGATTAGTTAATGGCTGAGCCTCACTGGCCAAGGTTTACTGTACCTTCTACCGTGACTAGTGAATAATGTCTTTGGGTTAGAAAATTCATTTATTTCATTTTTCAAGTACAGCAACCCAGTTAAAATTGGCTGTGGCAAAAGAGTACATTTATAGTACAGTCTAAGAAGATATTTGTGTCATGGTATCAGGTCTGGCTAGATCCAGGTGCTTAAATAGTGTCACCAAACTGGAGTGGTGTGAGGACCAGGTTAAGTAGCCCACTGGGAAGGGACATTCTTCTGAAGAGTTCCCAAAACATTCTAAGGTGGTTCTCCTCGTATTGACTTGGGTCCATGTATTGGTTGCCAGACAGATGGAATGAGGTAATCAGCCAGGCTGAGACCACAAGCTGGCCACAGAGGGTGGGAACAAAAAGCCACGGAACCAAGTGGCCTGGGCATGGAGAGGATAGACTCCCAAGGGGCTACTCTAGCTCAGCAGTCAGAGGAGGGAGAGGGTGATGTAGTAGTAAGAGCGGCGGGCTGCATCCCCGGCACCTGGCCCCCCCCACGGCTAGCTTTACCCGAAATAATTACACGGAAACTGTATTCTTTTAAACACCGCTTGGCCCATTATATCTAGCCTTTTCTCGGCTAACTCTCGCACCTGGACTAGCCAATTTCTTATAATCTGTGTAGCCCATGAGCTGGTTTACCAGGAATGATCTTAACCTGCATCTGTCTGGAGTGGGAGAATCATGGGGACTCCTTGACTCAGTTTCTTTCTCCCAGCATTCTGTTCTGTTTACTCCACCTACCTATGTTTTAACCTGTGAGGGCCAGCCAAGCAGTTTCTTTATTACTTAACCAATGAAATCAACAGATTGATATATGACACTACCACATCAGGGTGACAGTGGGCAGGTATTTGTCTTCTATTGGAGAGGGTTAAGAGCAGGGGCCTCTGGAGACACAGGAATGCTGTTATCTGTGACCACAGGTGTAGCACCTGCTCTGGGAGGGGGAACAAGACATGTGCCACCTGCAAGGGGGAGAGGAAGCTGGAGCACTTTGTCCAACTGGTCATCATGTGGTAAGTGACACCCAGGGGCCAGGCCTGGAGGAGGTGGGGGGGTTGTTGCGGATACAGAGAACCTCCTCCTCCTAGGGGCTTCTCCCTGGTCCAGGAGGGAGCAGCGGTGACGGGAGAGAATGCAGGGTGGCTTTGGCTCTGAGCTTACTTTTATTCTCATTTTTCAAGTTTTTACTCCTACTACTTTGTGTGAGTGTGAGGATGCTCAGATGTGGAAGTGCGTGCGTACATGTGAAGGCACTTGGGTACTGCGGCCCTCCTGTAGGAGTCGCTTCTCTTTCCACCATATTAGATCCTGATATTGAACTCAGTTTGCCAGGCTTGGCAGCAAGCACCTTCACCCCCTGAGCTATGGTCCTGGCTCTAGCTTTGAGTTTACATTGTCATCATCACCAGCTGGGGCAGCAGCCATGGGGCCCATGAACGCTGATATCCGGGATAAAACCGTGTGCATGTATCCCCAAGGTCAGCCATGGATGTTCTCCATTACGAAGTCCATGTTCTGTCCCTGGCCCGGATAAATGCTAGGCAACCAAAGGTACATGGGGACTGATTTTTTGCAGACCAAGCCCTGAGCTTAGAGAGGCTGTGCACTAGCTCCAGCCCCCATTTACCACCCCGCTTAGGTGTGATGATCAGTGATTTGAAGGTGGGGCCGATTCCCTTTCGTTCCCTCCTCCAGGAAGAACAGCCTGTTTGAGTTTGTGTCCCCACACCACCTCCACTGCCCCGGGGAGCTGCTTGCCAAAGCCAGAGGAGAAAACCTCTTCAGGGACGAGAATGCCACGGTAAGAAGGTGCAAGGAAGTTGGCATCCTGAAGACTAGCTGGCGCATCTGACCCTCTGTGAGCTTTAGGGCCGATGTGTATGGTGGGGACAGAGCTTCCCAGACAGAGATGAGGCCCTGGGTGACTGTGAATGGAGTCTGGTGTCAGGGCCACGAGGTCATCGGCCCCTTGCCCAGGCGGTGGGATGTTGAGAGGATGTGGGAAAGGGCACCAGGTTGCCTGTGTTATGAGCTAAAGGAGGAGCTGTAAGGGAGGCGGGGCTTGTCTCCACGTGGGAGACGATCTCAAGTCAATGCTGTACAAAGCTGCTAACCTGCTGCTTGGGGTTCTGCGCAGTTCATTTTGTGTCCCTGAGACACACAGTGGGAAGCTTCAATATTGGTGTGATACATGACCCATGTGCTTTAATCCCGGCTTTATCTCGCTCAGCACACAGTAGGACCCCAGAAAGGGTCTTTTGGAAAACATGAGCTGCAGGTGGGAGTGTAGAATCTCTGCACCCCTCCCCTTTGTCCTGGACACCCTGAGCCAATCAACTGGTTAATGAGGTCTAAAGAGTTTCCCTCAGCTTGCTGCGTGGCCTCGGAGCCTTTCTCCCATCACCCTCTGGGCCTACTCTTCTGCCTAGTGGAGTTGTCCCTGGGATCTTCCATAGCCCATGTGGGGGTGCTCTGAAAGAGAAAGTGAGGTGCTCTGTTTGTCTCTCCCCAGGTGTACCCCATTGTGGACTTTCCCCTGCGGGATATCTCTCTGGCCTCCCAGAGGGGCATTGAGGAGCACAATACTGCTCTGGCCTCCCGGAGTGCGCGCATCCTTCAGCAGGTGAGGCAGGGAGAACTGAGGACTGAGGATGAGGGCTTGGCTTGGGGCTGCTTCTCTGGTCACACAAAAGAGAGGGGGATGAGGCTTTACCTGAAGGAGTGAGGGTGCGGGAGATCAAGAGGGAGGGAAATGCACAGCCTAAGAAACTTCAGGGTTGAAGCAGTGTGCTGGAGTTGGGGGCCAGCATATCACACTGAAAAGGCAGGAGGGACCATCAGTCACTGGGAGAGAGGACTGGGGATTCATTCACAGGAAATGAGTTCTAGTGTGATTCTAACTCCCTCATAGTCAGAGAGCGGGAAGGAAGAAACCCAGTCAGTACCCAGATCTCAGGCCGGTGCACTGGTGCATTTGGGAAGTTCCTCTGGTGGCCACTAGGTGGCAGTGGAATCACCATCTCTGCAGCACGGTATAGCCATAGACTAGAGTTCTTTGGGTCTGGAGAGATTGCTCAGTGAGCCAAGTGCTTGTTGCTCAAGCATGAGGACTTGAATTCAGATCCCAAGGTTCCACATAAAGATCCTCTGTAGTGACACTCTCCCCGGGGGTCCAGGCTGCTCTATGAGGTTAGCTGCCCAGCTTATCTGGTTCAGTGAGGGTCTGTGTCTCAAAGAAAAGATTTCCAGTACTGATCTCAAAGAACACCCAGTGCTTGAGATTGGTGATGGGGAACCTGGGTCTTTCAGGCAGGGCTTAGATTCTGGGTCTCCTGCATCCTCATGTGATCCTGGGCAGCTGGGGCATCCTGGGGCAGCTGGGGCATCCTTAGGTAGCTGGGGCATTCTGGTTCAGTTGGGGCTTCCTGGGGCAGCTGGGGCATCCTGGGGCAGCTGGGGCATCCTGAGGCAGCTGGGGCATTCTGGTTCAGTTGGGGCTTCCTGAGGCAGCCTCTTCATATGTCTTCTTGGCTGGTTTCTTCTCTGACTGCTGCTGTGGGCTAAAGGTTTCCGGGTGCTACCCTGTGGCACAACCTGCTTTCGTTTCTATCTTTCCCAATGAGACCCAGCCCCACTTCCTGTTCTCTGCAATCTCTCCCGCTGGAAGGAAGGAGAGAGAAAGCAAACATGCATGCTTTAAAATGAACTGAGACCACCTGGGATCTGGAAGGGGACTAAAGTGAGCTTCAGGCACTGCAAACTCTATTGTCTCCCAGGGCCAGGTGGTCACCTGGGTGGCCCTCTGAAGATTCAGTCTCTACTCAGCTCTGTGTCTGCACGTAGCAGGGAGCTCTCAGACTGTCTAGCATCCAGGCATTTACATGGAACCTTCCAGCTTTTCAACATCATAACAAGAATCTGAGCCAATAGTCTCTGTGGTGTCCCCTGGTCCAATCTGATCCCCTGGGTTATTCTTATAAATGCAAGCCCAGAGACTGGAAGGAATTTCTTAAGAGGAGCAGTTCTTTTGTTAGATATTCCGGAAGTTAGTATAGGCTTTTGGGGATCTGGGGTGGGAGACTTGGGACCTTGTCAGTAACCCAGACACTGCAGGACACACCCAGTTGGCACCTGTTTCTCAGTTCTGGCACTCTCCGGAGGTTTGACCTAAACCCCCGTCCACTGACCCTCCGTGTCTGAAAAGTCATGGGGTTGGTTCTTATCTCAGTTTGGGCTCTGCAGAGCAGCCCCAAGAAATGCATATATGAGTGTCATTTACTGAGGAAAGGGAGCTTGAAGGATAGGGGAAGAGCTAAGAGGGAAGCCATGTCAGTTACAAGGCAGCCTCAGTCTGAGCCCAGAGTGGCTCCGACCTTCAGTCATGCCCCAATGCCAGGAGGCTGGGCTGCTGCCTTCTTGGCATCATCTTCCCTGGCCATGGAAGGTAGGCTCGATAGCCCTCAGAGTTCTCTGCAGAGAACTGGGCTATGGGGATCGGTGGTCAGATCTGGGGTGGGTGCAGCAGCAGGCTGTCAGGAAATGGGACTGGGCAGGGACGGATCCCCCACTGGTCTCCCGGGGCTTTGGCATTGGGTGGAGTACCATGGTGGTTACCTGAGTAAACCACAGTCTGGGCTTGGCCACCTGTTCCCCATATGTGAACTAACGAGATGAGGGATTGGTAAAAGCAGAAAAAGATTTACTAGCTGCAGCACCCTGGGAAGAGGCATGCCTAGAGAAATCTAATGACTTTCTACCTCCAGGTCTGTCTTTGGAACCCCGACAGGCCTTAGGTCCTGGTCAAGGCGTGACCCCACCCATCACTAACCCACCTCTTCTGCATGGTGCCTGACCCGCTGTGTGACTCCTTGGGATCCACTGTGTCAATAGTCTGCCAGGGAGGGACATGAGTGTCTGGCCAACATAGCTCTACTCCTGTTGTGACAGTCTGGCTTGAGTAAAGGAGTCCCAGATGGGACATCACCTTGGGCATGGCAGGAGGCTTTTGGAATACTTTGGGCTCGAGGGACAACATGACTCGAGCACCTTGCAAGCACTGGTCACTGTGGGGACCATTATACTCACAGAGTGGCCAATGTGAGTCCTTTCACAACATGCTGAACTAAATGATACGGTATATGAGTGACTGGTGCGGCCTCTAAAGCCTTCCTCCCATGACAAGCTAACCTCAAGCAACATAATCCACCGTGGAAAATCCTGGAGCTGGAAAGAGCAAGGCAAGAGATGTGCACATTAAAAAAAGTATTTTTATTTTTACGGGGACAGAATGGGTGAGGTCACATCTGGGATCCTCTTTTCTAACTGGCCTTTGGTCCTGATTTGATCCCGATTGAGCCAGAGTCAGTGATCCGTGACAGTGTTTTATTCTTGTTAGAGACGATGGGGGAGTGGAATCTAGTCATGAGGAGGTGGCAGCCACCACAGTGAGCACAGTTCCAGCAGCTGCAAGTGGATAGCTAGAATCCTCCCCATCGTGGAGTACAGCCAAGAAGCAAACACACAAGCAGTCAATTACAAGAGGACCGTCTTCTGAAGGGCTGAGGGCTTGGGTAGTTTGTGGGCTTAAATCCAGATCTTCTGAGCACACAGTGGATAGAGGCGGGGATGCTGCTGCTTCTTGTAGAAGGGTCTAGAAGCCAAAGTGTTCCTGATCTTCTGCCCAGGCCTCTGAGCAGCAGCCTTGGCTCCTAATTTCGTGTGTCTGTTAGTCCTTATTTACAAGGCTTTGCATATCAATTTTGGTGGGAGTGTTTCGGCTTCTGCCTTTGATTTCCAAAATGATCATTTGTGCCATTGCTTTAGGCTGATGAATATGAGTTAGTTTTCTGATTTCATTTGGCACCCCAACTTTGAAAGACTTTTGACCTCATTCCACATATAAGAAAGTCAAGGTCTGAGAAATGGAGCTCAGCACCACACAGGAAGGGTCACAGAAGTTTCTAACCCTGTTCCTGGGCAGTGTCCTATGCTCCTAGGTCCTTCTCCAGGGCTCTGCTCTGCCCCAGTATTCCTTGGGGACTCAAGGACAGTTAGAAGAGAAAGCTGAGCAACCATCTGATGGTTTCTGATGGGAAGGGCTTCTAGGGAGTGAGGAAGGTTTGGCCCCTAGCTGTCATACCATTTTCTTGTGTTTGGAATTCTATGCCTGAGAGTGGGTTGTGGAAGCAGCATGAGCCAAAGGCACAGGGCAGACCACAGAAATGCCCCAGGGACATGCTACTTTAACATCTGGAGAAGCCACAACTGTATACCAGCTATGGGTTGCCCTTGCCAACAGCCCAATAGTACCAGGAACTAAAAGTGACAGGGGCCCCCTCTTTCCACCCCAGGAGCCCCACTTCCTTCTTCAGCAGAGCTGAAGGTTTTGAACTAACTACTCAGAGAAGGGGCTGGAGTTGAGGTTCTGAGGCTGACTCTGTGGAAGATAGAGAGTTCTGCTCCCTCTTCTGGGTGCGGGGTGGGGCGCTGTTTAGAAAGAGGTGGATGCTGGGAGGAGATATGAGCTTGACAAGGGGACTGCTAAGGTGAGGGGCCCAGGTTTGCAGTGTTTGATGTTCAGGACCCAAAGTCACATGAGCCTTTTGTTTTCCTATCTGCCAAAAGGAGAGCATTTGAGAAAGACTCCTCTGAGGCTATGCTGACACACAACTGTGGTGGTGGCAGAGGGACATCTGGCTAGATAAGCCTCACAGAATCCACCAAATGCTGGCATTTCTCTGACATTTTATCTTAAAACCAAAATCAAAATCAATAAGCCACTCGAGACATTTCTCTGCTGTTTTGGATATGAAAATATTGAAAACAACTTTGTTCTTCACCCTCATCCAGTAGCTCATGGAGACATTTATGCTTCTGGAAATGTCTTGGGGCTTTCTTGAGGTCCCCTGGGGATACCCATGCCTCACTTCTAATATCAGACAGTAACTGAAGATAAGTCGGTTTTCCCAGGACGTAGACTGTGGGAAGGAACAGTGATGGGCAGTTAGCTGTGAACTGGACACGTCTAGGATCACCTGGGAAGAGTCTCTCCCAGTGAGATTTTGTTTAGATCAGGTTGTCCTGTGGGGGATTGTCTTGGATTGTGTTTATTGAGATGAGAAGACCCATCCACTGTGGGCAGCGTCATTCCGTAGGTTTGAGTCCTGAGCTGTGTGAGTGTGGAGACGGATGACAAACAGGAAAAGGGATACATTCCTTAGCTATTTCAAGTTCCTGCATCAGCTCCCCTCTGAGATGAGATGGACAGTAACGTGGAGTTAGGGGCCCAAGTAAACCCATTCTCCCCTGAGTTGCTTTTGGTCTGGATATTTATCACAGTGTCAGAGATAGGACTAGCGTAGGAGTGCAGCGGGAGATGAATCCAGATGGTCAGCTCCGGACATCCTGTGCACCCAGCACGTTACCCCACAAGCCTGGGGAAGCTGATGCTGCCTCGTAAACAAATGAGAGACTAGGGTGTGACTCTGTGTTTGGCCGTTTGTTTCCTCAGCGCCAGACCATCGAGCTGATCCCCATCACAGAAGTTCACTACTGGTACCAAGGAAAGACTTCTGTCTACTACATCTATGGCACCGACCACCAGGTATACGTGGCTGACTACCCCAAGCGATACTGCTGTGGATGCACGATCCTCTGATGGACAGAGCTGTCCCCAGAGTCCACCGGTTACATCTGCCAAGGGGACAGCGGTGCTCTTGAAGTTTAGTTGTGTTGGTGGATGTTGGACAACCCCTTGCAAACTCCAGAAGTCTTTCTGAACAATTGGTTAATCATCTGTCCAGACTCCACCCCTGATGGGGCTCGGCTGGTGGGGCCCATGTTTAACTTATAAGAATTTTCCTAAGCAACTTCCTGTAGAATAATGAAGAGAAGTAACATAAATGGTGGGGGCTCCGCCTCCCCCCAATCTAATACCCCAGTTGTATGTGGGGTCTTGTATTGGTGATCCCTATTTTAGTCTGGATTCTGCTATGAGCCTTGGAGCATGCCCAACGGTATAGAAGTGTTGAAATGTAATTACAGGTTGACTTCTGCCCAGCACTTTTGCTTTCTGTCCTCTGGGCTGGAAACACTGCTTTAGCCACTGCTGAAATAGTTCCGTTGTACCAATGCCAGGTCTGAGGCTTCCCTTTGAGGTTAGAAGGCTGTGGCGGTTCAAAGATGGGCGCCCTAGTCATCCGAAGGCCACTTCCATCTGGAGCTGCCCACCAGGCTATCCAGTCTGGGTTTCCTCACAACATGGAAGCTCTATGGTGACTGTCGTTCATGGGTACCGTGATGGCTGATTGATGTTGACTGTGAACTTGCCAGAATCTAGAATCACCCAGCAGCCAAACCTTTGGGTGTATCCATGAGAGAGTTTCTAGATTAGACAAATTGAGGTGACGATGTCACCCGTCTTTAGCGGTGAATAGCTCCATTTCATGGGCTGGGGTCTTGGACTGAATTAAGAAGGGGAAAGTGAGCTGAGCACCAGCGTTCATCTCCTTCTATCTACTTCTGGAGCACAGACATAATGTAACCAGCTGCCTCATGCTCCTACTGCCGCACCTTCTTCACCGTGACAGACTGCACCCGTTGAACTGTGAAGAAAAAATACAATAAACTCTTCCTTCCTTAGGTTGTGTTTGTCAGGCATTTTGTTGCAGAGGACTTGAAAGGTCACCAGTATGTGTGCTCAATTGAAAAATAAGAGGTCTCTCTCCAAAGTTCAGAAAACCAAACCAAAACACACCTGTGTTGGAAGGGTGGGGTCTAGCTGCTGACCCCCGTGGCGAGCTCACGGGATGGGTTTCACGGCATGTTTTCTTTTTGAGAAGATGTGGTTTGGAATCAGAAGATGTGAACTGGATCCTACTGTTGGAGCTGGGCAGGCAGAGGGAGCTCCCTGTAGACCCAAATGCTGGCTCAGCTTTGGAGAGGTGTTCCTGGATCCGGAAGGCCACCATGATCCTGACTGTGAGGAACCAGAGGATTGTCATTTTGTGATACCTGTCTTGAGTTAGAACAGGTGCTTAGCAGAAACACTGGCCTCTACACCTGTTTCCCTATGGGCCGTCTGGAACGCCCACTTGAAGTCAGTCTTACCTGCATCATGTGTCCCTACCCTTCAAGGACAGGCCCCTGGGAGGGCGATGGGGGAGACAGGGATGCAGAGTGTTTGTGCCATCTCTGCTACCGTTCGAGCCCTGGATTTCCCCATGCCTGTTTGGCTATTTGATTATTTCCTGGACCGGGCGAGTCATCCTTTGCGAGGTCTGGATGGGCATCCTGGTAGCGCTGATGAGAGCAGCACTGTTAACAGTGGGCTAGGTAAAGCGACTCCAGCTCTTTCAGGATTGGGACTGTGGAGCCAAGCAGGAACTGGGCTGGGTAGTCAAGGCGATGGGAGCCCCGTGGCTGAGCTGAGACTAAATCAAGTGCTCTCCACATCCAGACTTTGGCTCCTGCTCTGGCTGCCTGCTGACAAGTCTGTGAGCTCTTCAAGGCTGGAGGGACACACTCTTATGCTGCAGGGCAATAGGGCATGGGCAGCAGCTGCTCTCTAGGGACAGAGTCTTGCAGTGGCACGGGAAAGAGAGAAGTCTCCAGGGCAGATCTCACCTCTTCTGGAGCACCACCGTACTCTAGTGTGGCAAGCTATTGGCATTTGGTGGGTGAAGGGCAGGCAAGCAAAACTTCAGTTGCTAATCCCTTGGCATATGTCATACAGCTTTACATATACATATGTCATATGACATATGTCATACAGCTTTACAGTATACGTATCCCACTGGTGTTGAAGTTCAGTATAAGTAAACACAGAAAGCTCACCAGCTATTTCTTCATAGAATACTCATTTTCCCATAGTGCTCAGCTCTGTTCTCTTGAGTTGCCCCTTTACCTTGTTTGAAATACCAGATCTTTCACCTCATTTCAAATATGTGCTCATATATGGGCACAGCTGTGCTTATTCCTGCACCCTCTGTTATGCCTGGGCACCTGCATGCTGAAATGCATGTATTTTTATAAAGGGATTTCTTCTAATCTCTCCTTTGTGTTCAACATTGGATGTAAGTGGGCTATTGTGTTTCTTTTCTCCTTGCTCTGATCAGACACCCGACAAGCTGCAGCTTCAGGGAAGAGAGAGTTATTCTGGCTCCCTGTTTGAGAGGATACAGTCCCCCACAGTGGGGAAAGCACTGTGGTTGGAACAGCCAGAGAGTGAGGTGACTGGTGATATCACCTATCAGCCAGAAAGCAGAGAAACTGTGTTGGAAGCAGAGGCCACTCTAGCCTACAAGGTCCATCCTTGATACCCACTTCTTCCAGCAAGAACCCATATCCCGCAAGGTCCTACAACCTCCAAAACCAGCGTCCCCAGCTGGGGGCCAATCGTTCAGGCACACAAGCTTATGTAGGATGTTTACAGCCATACTGGCTATGAGTGTGTGTGTGTGTGTGTGTGTGTGTGTGTGTGTGTATGTGTGCGCATGAGCACGCGTGTGTATTTGGGGGTGAGAAGGAAACATCACTGTTTAAGGCTGATATCCAATGATTCAACTATGCTATTGGTGTAAGAAGTCACTAAGAACATTTTAGCTGGAAGAAGGTGACTTCAGAGGGACATTCAACAGTTGAGCAGGAGAGAGAAAGACAGAGACTAACACACAAACACACAGACAAAGACTACACAACACATATACATGCAGACACACAGAAACATAGACAGACACTACACACACACACACACACACACACACACACGAGGAGAGAGAGACAGGGGGTTTAGCTTGTTTTCTAGGTCTTGGTACTCAGCACATGGTGTGGTCAGTAGATGTTTCCTCCTCAGACCCCTTTGGAAAACCCTCAGACAAACGCTCCTAGAAGTCTCTCCTTGATGACTCCAAATCTTCTCAAGTTGACAATGAAGACCAACCTTCACAAACAGGCACACACAGGTTGATAAAACAGATCCCATGGGTAGGGGACACCCTATCTTCTATTGCCCTTGAACCTTCAGGTCCAGGAGCCCAGCTGAATGCATCTAGGCTGGAGTCCCTTGGGACCTCACTGTTTCCAGGACATTCTCTGTGAATCAGGAAGACGGACTGTGATTAAACCCACCACAAGGCCCTCCTGCACAGTCTTTTGTGGCTGTTCCGTTTTGAGAGAATCCAGCTGTTGGCACAGGCTCATTTTTGGCTTGTGACAAATGTGGAGAGCCTGACTGCAGGGTCTCCGGAGGGCTGACAGCTTCGCTGTAGTCTGTCTGGAGCAGAGAGCCGGGTGCATCCAGATGTGGGTCCTCTAGCAGGTTCTCCGGCTGGGCGCTGTCCGTGTTTCTACAAGTTCAATCCCTTTCCCTTATCACCTGACAGGACTGAATCCTCCAGCTGAAAGAAAGATTGATTTGGGGATGGGAAAGGCTGTGCTAACCTTTGTGGCCAAACTTAATCTCTGTGCTTTTGGTTACTTTAGTTTCTATATCACGATCAGAAAGTAAGACAAGAAGTTGTGGTGGCTGGGATACAGTTGGGAAGCAGCATATATAGTGTGGCCTTCTGACCTTATACTGCTCTACTTACCTGCTCTGTCTGTCCTTGGTGGTCCCCATAACTATTGGGGCTGGTGGGGTGTTGAGGCCATTGTGTGCGTGACGCTGATGCGCACTCAGACTCCTGGATGTTCTCTTAGCCATGGAGAATGGCGCGTGAGGTCAGAACCGAAGGGAGAGGTCATCCAGCACATGGTGCCTAGGCACAGACTGGGGTTTCTAAAAGACTATCAAAATACCAGGACCTCTCTGGGTGGGTGCCAAGCAGTTCGTCATAATGAAGCGCTGTCGCCCCCTGGTGGATCTTATTTCTAGACATTTGTGGTGACAGCTGTTGAAATTCTCTAGAGGTGCCCAGTGTTCTCATTTATTTTTAGTTTGCAATAAGGTCAGGAGATTAGTTAAAATTTTTGAGCTTTTAAACATACATTCTTTGAATTTATTTTTTGACAATTTCATATATGTATGCAATGTATCTTTGATCTTAATATATTCGCCCCAACTACCCCTCCCAATCTCCACAGATACCCCCAACACACCCCTGCCACTTTTGGGTCCTCTCTTCTCTCTGTGTGTGTGTGAGTGTACATGTGTATATGTGTGTGCATGTGTGTGTGTGTGTGAGACTTGCTGAGTTCGGTTAGTGCTGCTTGCTGGGATGTTGACTGATTCAGTTGGCCTGCTGCTGTGAGTTTGAGATTCCAATGGCCTTGTCATGTCCAGAGGACAGCAGGTAGCCCAGGCTGACCTTAAACTTGAACCGCCTCTCCCTCTTCAGCGTACCCTACCAGCTTGCAGCACCATAACTGGTTTCGTAGGTATCAAAATATCAACTCTCAGCTTGGCAGGGCTTTGTGTGACTGTGTAACAAAACACTGGAGGCAACTAATTTTGGAAAGAGATAAAGTTTATTTATATTTCATTTGGGAGATTCAGAGTTCAAGACTGGGTAGGAGGTGAGTGTTGTGTTGATTTGGAATATGGGGAGGGAGTAGACTTATGGCTTCAAAATGAGCAGAAGGAAAAAGAAAGCAAAGTCCCACAATCCCCTTCAAGGAGATACTTCTAATGACTTGAGAACCTCTCACTAGGGCCTATCTCCCTAGGTCCTCATTTTCCATGTAGCGTCACCTTGTGGGCCAAACTTTCGGTGCTGGCCTTATGTAGCAATTACACAGCATTAAGCCTCAGTGCGGGCTCCCCACGGGCAGGCCTCTCTAAGCCTCCATTTTTCCTTTCTTTTTTCTTCCTCGACAGTTCCGTAAATTCCTACAGTGAATGCCAATTGTTTTCACTTCCACTCTCACCTCCCCTCTTCCACAGAAGCCACTCTTCCCCTTTTTGCTTTCATCTCTGTCTTGTGTGTGACCCACTGAGTTTGGCTAGTTTCTTGCCGGAGTTGGGGTGGAACCTTGCCGATTACCTGGCAGCGTAACAAGTGGCTGCTCCACTGAGACAGATGAGTCTTCCTCCTGCAGCAACTAGCAACTATTAAGAGTCCCTTAGAGAGGGACAGAGTCTCATGACCCCCCTTCCTATCCATGATGATATGGCCAGTTATATGCAGGTTTTGTGTGGTAACCATGGTAGTTGTGAGCTCCTGAGTGCGATGGCCAGAAGACACAGCTTTTGCCCACCAGGAGGCAGCAGATGCACACACATGAGCCCTGCCTAGGGCTTGTCTTCTTTTCTGATCCCAGTGATTAAACAAGGCAAGTTTACCATACCTCCAGTTTCTGCAGCTGCCAAGTGCCCCTCGGACTGTTTTGTAAAGGCGACACTTCATGCTTTGCGACGCCACCTGACTTCAGGGACTGTGTCATCCCCATTTCATAGAACAGAAGGAGGTTGAAGCCTAGAGAGTTTGAAAAAGTTCAACCCAATG